CTCGCTCTAAAGAGACCTTCTGCGAATCTAAATCCATTACCTTCGCCTTCTTGATACTGGTATGTAGAATTCATAATGATACAGAAATGCCACAAGTCCTGACATCCTCCCATATAAATCTCAGTTTCTAGTTAACACACATCCTGAAGATTCCCAATTACTACATGTAAATCTTGAATCCTTCAAAACCATTCTCGGGAGTCATCCATTTTACTCAGGTTTCAACTAGACTGATCAAATGAATCGAACGACCTGGGCTTCATTAGCACTCCAACACCCTAGAAAGTAGCCCCACCTTAATGAAACCAAATAAATTCTTGCTCCATACATATTACATCCTTCACCAATAACAACTTAAGTCATTCCATGATTCTTATACACCCATAAAGCATAACACAACCCCTATCCAAAATTTCCTTTACTCGAGTAATCCTCGACCTCAACCCCTGTAAGCCACAACTGATTCGTCAGTATACCTCAAGCTGAAACTGATACGACACTTAGCCGCGCAATCAACTTATCAATAGCATACTCCCCCACTTAGCTCAAAGCCACCGATCAAAACACACCATAACTCATGATACCCATACTCTATTACTGCCATAGTGAGATTAAACTAAATCCTTCATAAGCTCACGTAACACAAACCAGCTAGTACTTCAAATCATCTGCAACTCTCGCATTCACCCTCGTAATAGTCATGCTCACTCTCATACACGATCCAAACTCAATCTGCAGCATATATAATTCACTGGTAAAGGAGGTCTCCCAACAAACAACATAAGAATCACACAAACTTTAGAACACTCCGTAGGAGATAAGCCACATGCTTCGCCTCAAACTAACATCTCTCCATACCCTTCCATCGTCATAAATATCACGCAATCACTTAATCTTCCTGAGTCTGAACACATATCACAACATGAAATCTACTTCACTTCCCAACTAGACAACATGAAAAGATCCTTCAATACACCCATAACTCGGGGCTACGCATCAAATCAAGATGGAAATAAAGCACCAAATAGTTCTTTCTACCCTCAAGCAGACCCCTCTCGTCACATTCAAATCATATGAATACATATCGCAGTCACATCATACTCATAACATAGCCATCCAGTCACCACTTCCACTAATAGGGACACTACCGGACATATAAATCCAGAAGTACGTGCTCACACAATCAATGCCTCAGTGCTCAAGCTATAGGCAAAATTCGGCCTCAAGTCCTCCAGACTGGCCCAACATCAACAAACAGAAATCACATCTCGCCCTTCGATCAGGGAATCACAAATCGTCGATGCACAGTTGATACTGAGCGCTCATGCGCGCATACGAATGCGTGGAAGGAATTCAAAGAGTTACATTTCAAGCTGAATCAAGGACGCACGATAAGAATTCAAGAATGTGGGATTTCCTAAAGGTTCTACAGCCTCCCGAGGATAAGTACAGACGTCTCCGTACTGATCTATGAGACTCTACTAAACCTACTCATGACTCGTGAGACCTATGTAACCTAGGCTCTAATACCAACTTATCATGACCCTAAAACCGACCCGGTCGTGATGGCACCTATCGTGAAACTAGGACAGCCGACACAATTTCTAATTCAAACTATTATTCTATAAATGTCATTTTTAAGCCATTAATTAACAAGAAATCTCATAATATTAGTCTAAATAACCAGTGCGAAATAAATACACAAGCCTGACATCAGGGTGTTACAAGTCATGAGCAACTACAGCTCTATCTCAATACAATAAAGTCTAAACAAGACTAGAAGATCAAAAGAAATAAATCTAGGAAAGATATGAGGGATAAGAACAGGGCTGTGAACGCCATGCAGCTACCTTGTCGACTCCGATGAACCTGCCACTGAGTAATCAACACCCACTACTGGGTTCAGAAATACCTGAATTTGCACACAAGGTGCAGGGAGTAATGTGAGTATGCCAACTCAGTAAGTAATAAGAGTAAATAAAAACTGAACAGTAAGAAAACACATAGTCCACGTCATAACACCATAGTAAGTACAGTGTGTTTCCAAAAAAGTATATAAATCAAATCATTTCATTAAAAATCTAGTTTTCGGTAGAAATCATTTGAAGATATGTAAAATTCCATTTAAAACATCTTTCAGCAGTTTTCAAACAAATGATGAAACAGTGAGTAGAAATGATGAAAACATAGTCGGCCCCTCGGGCAAAAACTCACTCGTATACAGCCCCTCGGGCACAATGAATTATAAAGCGCCCCTCGGGCAAAATATCAACAGAACCAGCCCCTCGGGCTATCTCACAATCACTTGTAATCAGCCCCTCGGGCACTACATAAGTCAATAACAGCCCCTCAGGCAACATCACATCCCTCACACTGGGTACCCGCGCTCACTGGGGGTGTTCAGACTCCGGAGGGGATCCTACAACCCAAGCGTTATAACAAGCCATCTCGTGGCATAATCAATCAGGCCCTCGGCCTCACATAACAAGCCACCACGTGGCATCATAAATCAGGCCCTCGGTCTCTCATACATAACAAATCAGTACAATATGCTGCGGCGCACAGCCCACTCCCATTATATCCTCACAACACAAACCCTCGGCCTCACTCAGTCAAAAATCTCTCATTCCACTCGGGCGATAGTAAAACAGGATGCTGAGCCCAAAATATCATTTAAAATATCAAAACAGTGTAAATATAGCTGAGTTGTGAAATAAGTAAAGCACAGCATGATTGGGTACAGATATTAAGTTTAAACAGTGAGGAATAGTAGTAAAAAGTCCCTAAGGGTCCAAAACAGTTGGCACGAGGCCCAAATATGGCATTCAGCCCACAATATAGTAATACTTTCCAAAACACAATAGTATCAAATAGTTTTCAATCAAATACGCGACTTAAAAATCATACGGGACGGATCAAGTCACAATCCCCAATGGTGCACGCCCCCACGCTCGTCATCTAGTGTGTGTGTCACCTCAAAGTAGCACCACGATGTGAATTCCGGGGTTTCATATGCTCAGGACAACATTTATAATCATTACTTACCTCAAACCGGTTCAAGCTCTAGCCCACGATGCCTTTTGCCTCTCGACTCGGCTCCAAATGCGCCAAACCTAACCAAAATCAGTATATATTCACCAATATATGCTAAAGGAACAAAGCCCAAGCGAAAATAGTCACATTAACTCAAAAATCCCGAAATTGGCTCGAACCCGGCCTCTGGGACCACGTCTCGGAATCTGATAAAAATCACAAAACTAAAAAGCTCATTCACTCACGAGTCTACCCATATCAAATTCACCAAAATCCAACATCAAATGGCCATCCAAATCCTTAAAATCAACTCTCCAAATTTTCTTCCATTTTCCCTAATTTTCACCCCAAATTCCTAAATTAAATGATAAAAATCAAGACTTAATCATAGAATTTAACCAAATTTGAGTGAAGAACACTTACCCCAATCAATCCTCTGAAAATCCCCTCCAAAATCGCCTTCTCCCGAGCTCTCTAATGAATTTTGAAGTTATGGACTAAAACCCTTGATTTTGAACTTAAAGTTTCTGCCGAGGTGTTTTCTTCTTCGCGAACACGGAAGCTCCCTCGCATTCGCGAAACACAAGCTTCCTCAGACCAAATTCCCTTCTTCGCGAATACGAGGGCCCAGGCGCGAACGCGAAGACCATCCAGCTCGACCCAACACGAACGCGGAACACCCATTGCGAATGTCTAGGCTTAATTGCCTGAACTCCACACCTTCGCGAACGCGGGACCTACATCGCGAATGCGAAGCACTACTAGGTTGCCCCTCTCAAGAGCCCTTTCGCGAACGGGAAGAAGGATTCCTCTGCAACAAAATACCAAAAAATCTGCCAACTTCCAAAACCAAGAATTGGTCTGTTAACCACCCGAAACTCACCCGAGGCCCTCGGGACCTCAACCAAACATGCCAACACATCCCATAACGTCATTCAAACTTAGTCGAGCCTTTGAATCACTCAAAACAACACCAAAACACCAAATCAACCTCGGATTCAAGCCTAAGAACTTACAAACTTTCAAATTCTAGAAACAACGCTGAAACTTATCAAACCTCGTCCGAATGACCTAAAATTTTGCACACACATCACAAATGACACTACGCACCTACTCCAACTTCCTGAATTCCATTCCGAGCCTGATATCAAGATTTCCACTGTCGACCGGAAACTCCAAGTATTGAATTTCGCCAATTCAAGCCTAAATCTACCACGAACCTCCAATTCACATTTCGGACGCGCTCCCAAGTCCACAATCACCTAACGGAGCTAACCAAATCATAAAAATTCAAATCCGAGATCGAATACTAAAAAGTTAAAACTTGGTCAAACCTTTTAAATTTAAAGCTTCAAACTGGGAATTGTTCTTCCAAATCTATTTCGATTATCCTGAAAACCAAAACCGACGATTTACCTAAGTCATAATATATCACACAAGGCTAGCCATGCCCGAGAACTGGCGAGCGAAGTGCAAGTGCTCAAAACGACCGGTCGGATCATTACACCTACTAGCCCAAGTATTAACAAGAGCTCAGCTGCGGAGACTTCAAGGTGTACTTGCCAACGTCCGCAGGCCGCGAAGTCCCCCTCTACGTAGACTATTCTATTTTCCTTATCCTTTTTTTATAGACATTGATGTATAGGATTATTCAGTACTACTATTTAAAGTTTGTGACTTGTATTCGCCAAGTTTTGGGAGTTGTATACGCTGAGTTGCAGAGCTTATTTTACATAGTTGCTGAGTTTTGAGACTTCAATTATTATTTCAGTTACTTCTGCATGAATGTTAGGCTTAACTAGTTTTAAAGATTAGGTGTCATCACGACATCCTATGGAGGAAAATTGGGATCGTAACAACTTCAGTTATCTCTACAAGCTAAACAGAATATACATTTTACTTGATAATCAGGAAGGAGCACCCGTAACTCTTTACCACAGTTTAAACCTGTACTAACTTCCAAAAAGTTAGAGATAAAACATTTTTAGACCTGCATTAACCTGTAAAATTTAAAGATGAACGAATAGTATAGCCATTTCAGCATATACAAGCCACTCTCAATGGAATCCTGTTTCCGGTCCTAATCCTGGCTTGAATATTCATATTCATATACAATATATCAGGTGCTTTGCTCTGCCAGGTATGTTTAATCCTGAACTTCCTATACCGATACCATCTGTTATTTCTTTTTGTACCCCTAAAGAATCTAAACTTTTCGTCATAATTGATGCATAATTACAATCAACAAGCCACTCATCCCCATTGATCCGCAGAGTATGCTTGAAGTTGATTTTATCTTTGCAGCAAAAAGTAGTTTGTACGAGTCTTGTTATCTGGAAATTTGACTGTGGTCTTTGAAAGTCAGTTGTGGCCATCATAAACACCCCTTCTGGAGCTGTGCATAATTGGCTCATCTGTGTAGCAGGAAAAATAAAGTCATATTTGCCTGAGCTTCTACAGCTTGTAGAAACTGATTTGCATGAGCTTATCGAGTTATTCGTTGTATATATGATTAGACAAAATAATTGATGAGCACAACAAGAAACGTAGGCAAGTGGTTACTAGCGTGTTAACAGAAATAGTCCGGTTCTCATATCAAGTCCTCAAAACATTATAGAGTGTAAATAAAGCGCAAGATTACCTTCATCTTCATCTCCACCTTGAGTAGTAAAGAATGGAGTGAGGTAGTTTTTGTCCAGTGCTGAAAATGAAGTCGTGCTGGAGAAAATAAAATGCATTAAAAGACAGGAAATGATGAGGACCACCTGTGTCTCCCAGCAGTAAAATCCACCAGCCAGTTAGCTGGGATGACTTGGTAACGTTGAGGCGACCAAGGTTCAAATCTCCCTACACTTACATTGTGTCACAAGCAAGTAAACATTACCTTTTGTGGAACTCCTTAAGTTTCATCCTGAACCTGTTCCCTGATGACGATTCACCATCATAAGATTCATCACTATAAGAAGGAGCTATATATCCATTGTTCCCCTCAAAGGTCTAAAGACAGAAAAGAGCAGGAAAAAGTATTAGTGCACTGAGCAGAATTCAACTTATTACACTGTTGGAAAACACCATTGCTAATACACTTACTTCACCCAAGGAGCCAGCATGACCATCACCCACAACTTCCAAGGCTTCTAACATGGTTCCTGTTGATCCTCCAATAATCAAAACCTGAAAAGTTGCAGTTTGATTAGATTATATTCAGAACATATTGTGAAAGAGATCATCCATCCAGTATGAAGGAAGAATGGGTACAAAAGAGTAATAGTAATCAAAATGGAAGCAAAGCGATAAAAATCAGTTTAAATGAATCAATATTTGGAAAATGTCAGAGTACATGGCTTCCACAGAACACAGACATTATTCACCACCAGTTCGTGTCTGTGTCTTTTTTAATCAGCTTTTTCTTGTTCTTTCTCTTTTTCGTGATAAAGTTCTCTAACTCTACTCCAACATAGAGTTCTCTAAGGGGTGATTTGGTAGGATGTATAAGAATAATGCGGAATAAGGTGTATTAGTAATGCATGGTTTAGTAATGCATGTGTTAGTAATGCAAGCATTAGTTGTGCATATATTATTTCTTATCTACTGTTTGGTGTGGTGTATTAAAATTATAATGCATTGCAAAAATTTTAAGAAAAATAGTTGTTTACAAAAATGCCCTCCATATTCTCTAGCTTTAAAGGACTTTAAGGACAATTTTGTCTTTAAACATACTAATGCATGCATTAATAGCCTTGGTATTACTAATGTCATGGTTTTATATGCATTACTAATGCATAGGATAATACCAAGTATGATGTATAACTAATACAAGTATTACTTATACACATGTTGAAAAAATGTACCAAGCAAGGTATTAGTAATGCATAGAGTTAATGTTTGCATTATTTTTTCTAATGCCTCCTACCAAATGACCCCCCCTAAGTGACTGTCTAATACAATGATCTTTAGAGCTGTGTGTAATATTAGACTTCTGTTTACCTTTATCTCGCACATACATTAATAGCATGTTTGGCCAAGCTTCTAAAATCAGCTTATTTTGAGAAGTGCTTTTCTCAAAAGTACTTTTAAAAAAAGTGAAGTGCTTTTGGTGAGAAGCAGTTTGTGTTTGACTAATTAATTTGAAAAGCACTTTTGAGCAGTAATTAGTGTTTGACCAAGCTTTTGAAAACTGCTTCTAAGTGTATTTTTCTCAAAAGTGTTTCTCAAAAAAGTGCTTTTGGAGAGAAGCTATTTTTTCCTGCTTCTCAAAAACTGTTTCNAAGTGCTTTTGGTGAGAAGCAGTTTGTGTTTGACTAATTAATTTGAAAAGCACTTTTGAGCAGTAA